GTCGTTATAACGAATACCACCCCGACAGGCTGACTAGGAGCCCGACGCGAAGCGGAGGGATCTTAATCAGCCTGAAGGGGGGGTATTCGTTATAACAACCGCCGTGCTATACATTATCCCGCTTATTACATGGCTACCTACCAAATAAATAAATAATTTGACTCAAAATATTGATTTAAAAAGGAGTTTATTGATTTAAAAACGATTGTATTGCTTCCGCTAAAGAAAATAGTCCGTTCCGTCTCTGAACTGCGTCCATGGCAACGCTCTGTTTTTCATGGCAACGGTCTGTTATACTAAGCAGCGGTCTGTTATCAAGAAATAACAGACCGCATTCTACATTGGAATTCTACCAAGCCATGTAATAAACTAGTATAATGTATGTCAGTGTGGATTTTATTGTGTTCAGTAGTTTATTATTTATATATATATATATATATATATATATATATATATATATATATATATATATATATATATATATATATATATTATTAAACAATATCAATTTACAAACACAAGTGGGAAACAATAATAACCACGTTCAGTTGTTTACCAACCAAAAATTACTAATTGCCCCCAAAAATGAGTAATTATCCCCCCTCCCCGTTGAGCCATTAGACAGCGCCCTCTTCTGGACTGAGTTTGTCATAGATACAGTCGGTTGGTCTGGGAACGCCCCCGGGAACGCCCCGTCACGTGATGTGAATTTAGCCCATGGGGCCGTGGGGGAAAACATTGCCTTGGCGCCAGTCTATGCTTGGCGCTCATTGAAAATACACGCGACAATCATGCCAAAGAGTTGTTGTGTCGTTTTCTGTACTGCCAATATAAATATATATATAAGTTCTACAGCCTTCCTAATAAACCCACAGAACTGGAAAGGACGACAAAATATACAAGAACTATAGTAATCCTTTAAGAGTTGTATTACTTCTGTGATGTTCTGTAGGCCGCCTACCACTATAGTACTTCTATAGTTTGTCCCAAAATATTATAGTATTCCAATAGGATTACCATAATATTTTATCCTAAAATACTACAAGATTCCAATGGTTGTTTTTCATAAGGAATGTCTCATTCACATTAGCCAGCCAGAGCCATAGAGAGAAAGAGCCTATATGGGGAGGCTGCAGACCTGGAGCCGGCAGTTTTACGCCCCTGACAGTTTTAAGCCCCTGTTGTTCCTGATGCGTCCAGTAAGGGGATATACTGTGAAATAACATAATAAAATCGACGCTTACACATTAACAATCCGTCCATAGACTTGACAATTTTGTGTTGATGTCGCCGCGCCGCTGTCAAGTCGTTCATGTTCCAAAACATACGCTGGCTGTCATGTTCTTCTAAGGTACAGACAGCACAGCAGCGATTGTATTATTGAACGGTAAATATAAAATAAAACACACACCCAAGTACTTTTTCAGCTGTTACTGCATTATTGCATTTTGTTAATGTCATTTTTGCATTTGGAGAGGATCAACTCTATAACTCGCTGTTAATCTGGTAACTTTGAGAGACTGGTGAATAGAATGAATGAAATCTTTATTTCGAACAATTAATAAAAATAATAATAAATAAATAAATAAAGACAGCAATACGTATGAAGTATCCATACAAATAATTAAACACAAAAACGATTAAAAAAAAAATATATATATATATATTTTTAGCATAATAATCAACCCCAATAGGCCTAATCTAGAGAAACACGAGTCCTCGGCTGTGAACAGAAATGCTCTCGATCACTGTGAGGATCAGACTCTAGCTGTATTATTTCCACACGTGTAAAACAATAGTTTGAGGCTCTTATTACACTAAGATTGCTGTTGAGTCACATGACTTCTCTTTAATGATCTTTACAGTAAATCGGCTGAATAAAGGGAGTTACTCTTCATGAGGGTGCGAAACTCAACTGAACGTTGTTGTGCTGGTTTCCATCATTAATTGTGTTTATATCAACTTTATTTGTTTATCTGCATCCAGAGAAATGAGTTGAAAATGTAGAAAGCTTTTTGATTTCACATCTCCTCTTCATGTACTGTTGTAGTTTATATGATAATCTTGGCATTGTGTACTATGATTACTGTTGACTCTTTTGACAAATTGCTTGTGATGTTCCTCTTTTTAGATAAAAGCATGTGCTAAATGAATAAATGTAAATGTTTGTTTGTGTTGGGATCAAATCAAGGGAGGGCAAGCGTTCCAGTAACACTCTTAACTCAGTGTATGACCAGATTAAAGCAATGTCTCACACTTTTTGAATGGGGTTATAGGTCATGATCCCCTGAGCAGGTTTAGCACCACTTCTGCGGGAGCAAAGAGACCTATTTACTTGTACAGTTATGGTCTGAAAAGTATATTCAGGGCAAATTGGATGATACTGTCAGAAATATAGAAGCCCAACTGGTGAACAAGAGCAAGACAACCTGCTATTTAAACTGAACAGAAATACCAAGAAGAACATTAACCCAAGAATGTACAGTGTGAAACTTCAAAAACCTTAATATCCAGGATTCACTCTTAACCCAGGATACAGACTGAACTGTGTGAAACATGTTAACCTGAGTTTAGAATGACCCAAGTTAAATGTGACACTTTGAAATGCTTTGGGTTACTGTAGTTGGCATGAGAGATGAATATGGTTATCATTCACTACTGTGGCATAGTACTATTGTTTTAGCATCCTCACTGAACCATGGTTTCGGTTTAAGAGTCATGTGGCCAAACCAGTCTGGAGACACGTGTTGATCTGGGCACTGAATTAAATATGTGCTGGACTGAACAATAGTTGCTGTCGTCTTCAGTTTGGCTTGTGCAATCACTAGGGTTTATAAGTGTGAGCTGGTTAACAAGAGGTTTAAACAGGACCTTCACAATCCTCAAACACCAGCGCAGACTAGAGATGGCAACCAATAGGGTCAGAAACATGTATGAAGTAGATGTTAGGCAATGGGAAGAAGATGCTAAAAAAGAATATAGAGATAAACGGCTGAATGAATTTCCAGATTATCTCTTCAAACTCTTTGATCCTCCTTATCCATCTAAAAAGGATACCCTGTGTGGTTTGCTCTTCAGACCCTCTTCAGCCTCAAAAGCATTCCTGTGGATGCATTACATCTTAGAGACGTATCCACAACTCAGTCCTCAGTTGAGTTGCAGACGAGCTAAACAGCCAGCACGAGATGTGATTCATATCAAAGGTGGTTTAGAAGAAATGCGCAGATTTTGTGAAGGTTTTCGAGACCAGCTGAGAATAATTAGTCCTGAACTAGATCTGGATGCAGGAATGAGTGCACTTGCAATAAAAGAAGGGATGCCAAAAACATAAGGTAAGAAAATATTGTAAATGGTTCATAAATTAAACGTATATATAATTAATATAAATTAATAATGAACATAAAAATAGTTGAGTTGTGTTTGTTTGGTTTATCTGTTTGTTACTTCCATCTTAAAATATAATTTAACAATGCTTTTTTTTTTTTTTAAATAACTAACCCCAACATATCATGAACTAACAAAATGTAAGGAAATGTGTTTTGATATTGAATGTGTCTGTGGTTAAGCCGCCATTTGTGTTGTGTAATTGTTTGTTCCACCAGAGATATATAACAAATCATGGAAACTGTTTTCTGAGAATTGATTAATGTTTACTCTATAATAATAGACATATGAGATCATGAATATAACATCAGTTTATTTGTTTCATCTCTTCCACACAGAGATCATGTTTTTATCTGACGGGAGAGTCCTTGAAGATCTCAAGATCTGCAGCGTTTGACCAGATTTAAAGCAGACCAATTATGAATTTCTTGTATTTCTCTTCTCTATCCCATTCAGACAACTGTCACACTTTATTCTCAAGTTTATAATTCTCTGGGTGTGTTATTTAATAGTTAGTTTCTGGATAAGCTTGTATTTCTAAATAATTTCTACATAAATATAATTTCTATATAAACCTTAAAGTCTTGACTACAAAAAAAAAATCGAATGGACATTTTCTCACTGTTACCACACTGTTGACACACATTCATCTTTTTGGTAAATGTGTTGTCATATTAAAATTTTCCATTAAACTATTATGATGCATCCCAGTGTGTGTTTTGTGTGTGTGTTCACGTTTTCACGTGATTACCTATTACGAATAGCTTATAGGAATATATAGGAATATTTTTTTTAAATGACATTATTATGGAAGCAGATTAGTCTCAAATATAATTCACGCAAAAAAACATGATTCACACATGTGTAGACAATTTCACATGCATGAAACCTAATTCACGTACACACGGAAAAAATTCACGTGCGTGAAAAAAAAATTATATTCACAAAAAGCAATTCACATACGCAAGATAAAATTATATATTCATAAAATACATTTCACAAATGCAAAGCACAATTCGTAAATATACAACTGTGCACAAAAACCTTTGAATGTTTAAAATGTACGAGTTTATCCTTGAATGTGAATGTGCAAATCGTCATTCACGTGTGAATCGCCTTGGATGTGTGTGTGTGTGTGTGTGTGTGTGTGTGTGTGACACCTCGTACACCTGCATCTGTGGAAGGTACAACACTACTAATGTTGTGTGTGTGTGTGTGTGTGTGTGTGTGTGTGTGTGTGTGTGTGTGTGTGTGTGTGTGTGTGTGTGTGTGTGTGTGTGTGTGTGACATCTCGTACACCTGCATCTGTGGAAGGTACAACACTACTGATGGTGTGTGTGTGTGTGTGTGTGTGTGTGTGTGTGTGACACCTCGTACACCTGCGTCTGTGGAAGGTACAACACTACTGATGTTGTGTGTGTGTGTGTGTGTGTGTGTGTGTGTGTGTGTGTGTGTGACACCTCGTACACCTGCATCTGTGGAAGGTACAACACTACTGATGTTGTGTGTGTAAATAACCCTCAGTTATTTGAATAATATATGCAGTAATTAATATATTATTCTGATATCGTTATTCTATACTTCTTAATATTAGTTTAATATTCTTAATATTGTTTATTATATTTTTGAAGATTTTCTTTGCACTCTTAGTTATTTAACCTATAGAGACCTTGATTTTGAAAGGTGGCTTGCCGGAAATGCGAACAGATCGCTCGCGCACAGGAAGCGCGCATACACAGAGATTGCTGATAGAAGGAGACACGGAACCATGCGGTCACGGATTCACGGATGTGAATTATATTATTAAGGCAACTGTAAAGTTAATTTAGGCATCTAGTCGCTGTTTGTTTTTATTTTAGTAGTATTTGTTTTGCATCTGTTGTTTTAGCACCTGGTTGGAAAGGAGTACAAGGTACATCATGTATATTTATGCACTTGTGTAATGCTACAGCATATCTTGTCTGTATGATTGTTTTATATATGTTTGTTTAATTTTTTTAGCAATTTAAGGCGTTTTTGATAAATGTTAGTATTGATTTAGTAATTTTGCTATATTGACAACTGGTTTTTGTTTCATTTATATGAACGTGAATTATTTACAGATTCCAATAATGTTAATTCATCTGTTCTAGCTCTTACGGTGTTGTGACGGTGTTGTGACGGTGTTACGGACAATAAACAGACAACATCAGTGAGAGAGCGACTTTTCTTTATTCAACCGGGCTGCTACAGTAAGAGCTTTATCTCATTGATTCCATTTGCTGATGTAAATGATGACAGACCATGGATCCAAGTCGTGCACTCCTGTGAAAGAAATGGAAGCATTAAACATCCTACCTTCTCAAAGCAAAGATAAAGATGAGGAGATGGAAGAACATTCTGATGGTGTAAAGACAGATGAAGTACGTCGCTCTGGTCGTGAACGAATTCCAACAGAAAAGATGCTCGCGTATCAAAGAGAGGAGTCACAAAAGGCAGAGAGAAGGCTCATGCGCGCATATGAGCAATGGAAAGCTGAGGCTCGAAAGGCAAGAGGGCAGCTGAAAACGGACATTTCCGAGAGTCAGCTAGCAACACTTATAGACACATTGGAAAACGAAAGAGACAATGTAATGAACGCATACACGAGACTTCGAAGTAATGTTACTCCTCCCAATGAAACAAGAAGACGGATTGATGCCTGTGACGCTGTGACAAAGGATATAGTAAAGATTGCTTATGAGAGGATCTCAGGTGTTGATGGAGACATAGACGGTGAAAGAGTAAGAGGAAGTCTTCGTGAATTGCTTGATCGAGATTATGCTCGCTCCGTCTATGGTTCTACAGTCTCACGTATCAGCTCCAAGTCAAGTACACCCATAAGTCAACCTTCACTGAATTCCATGCTGATGGCTAAACGAATAGAGGCAGAAGCAGAGCTTGCAGCAAAGGAAGCAGAATATGCAACAATAATGGAGGAAAAAGAACAAAAGGAAAGAATCCAACTTCTAGAAGAAAAGCAAAGAAGAGAACTTGATGCACAAAGGAGTGAGTTTGAAAGATTACAAGCGGTAAAGGAGGTAAGAGCAGCTAGAGCCAGACTAAAGGTGTATGACAAGGAAGACATCATTCCCTTTGCTAATCAGAATGACGGGCTGCAGCAACCTGTAAGCACTCCCACACAAGACCCTGTGTATTCATCCTCCATTGAGCCAACACTCAATGCAAAAGCATCATCACCAACTCCCAATGCTGATGTGTCTTACCTTGCACAGGCTGTTCAAGACAGTATAACGCTGAACAGACTTCCTATGCCAGAGCCTACAGTCTTCAGTGGTGACCCCATTCACTTTATTGAATGGAAGGCTTCATTTCAATCACTCATCGACAAAAGACATATCTCCTCAGCAGATAAGTTATACTACTTGAAGAAGTATGTCACTGGTTCTGCTCGGAAAACTCTTGAAGGCATGTTTTACAGAAATGATGAGGAAGCCTACAAGGATGCATGGAAAAGACTTCAGGATCGCTATGGACAGCCGTTCATTGTACAAAGAGCATTCCGAGAGAAACTCGCATGCTGGCCCAGAATCCAGCCCAAGGATGCTGAAGGACTCAGAAATTTCTCAGATTTCCTGAATGCATGTAAAGACGCTATGCCTCATGTTAAGGGACTGGAAATACTGAATGATTGTGAGGAAAATAGAAAACTCGTCAGTAAACTTCCTGATTGGGCTGCTGCCCGCTGGAATCGTCAAGCTACTCAAACACTGAGTGAGACTCAAGATTTCCCACCTTTCCATGATTTCGCTAACTTCATGTCAGTTGAGGCTGAGGTAGCCTGCAACCCAGTCACTTCCTTCTATGCTCTTCACACTTCTGAAGCTAATAAGGATAAACAGAACCTCAAGGTTAGTAAGAACAAAGCCAATGTCTTCCACACAAAGATGATCACACAACATGAGAACCCGAAGCACGCTAGTAAAGTCTCTAAATCATGTCTGTTCTGTCAAAGCAGTGAACATCAAATTCATGATTGCTTTAAATTCTCTGCAAAGTCTCTTGAACAGCGGAGACAGTTCATAAAAGATACTAATCTGTGCTACGGATGTTTGAAGCTCGGTCACAGTGCCAGAGATTGTCGTTCCAGACATAGCTGTGATACCTGCAAGGGAAGACATCCTACCTGCTTACACGATGACAGCTTCATTAGAAGGGTGAAGTCCTCCTCTGCCCAAAGCCCAGAGAACACACACGAAAAGGTTGTGACAACGTCTTCAAGTGTAGAATCTGGATGCACTTTTGCTAACACCTCAATGATTGTGCCAGTGTGGTTGTCCTCACAAAATGACCCAGCCTCTGAGAAACTCGTCTATGCTCTGTTAGACACACAAAGCGACACTGTCTTCGTCGATTATGCAGTAAGTCAAAGTCTAAAGGTTGACTCATGCCCAGTGACACTTAGGCTCACTACCATGGTTGGAAGAGATTCGTTGATATCTAGTGAAAGAGTTTCCGGTCTTCGAGTCAGAGGTTTTAATTCTACGGTAATTCTAGACCTTCCCCCTGCATATACTAAGGAATGTATCCCTGTAGATCGCACCCACATCCCTACCAGTGAGACTGCCAGGTGTTGGAAACATCTCGCTGCTCTGGCAGACCGAATTCCCCTGCTTCAAGACTGTGAGGTTGGTCTATTATCAGGATATAATTGTCCCAGAGCTTTAGCACCCAAAGAAGTGATTCTTGGAGCAGACAATGAGCCATATGCTGTTCGCACGGATCTCGGATGGAGCATCGTGGGCCCTTCCTTGACACATTGCGAGTCACAAAGCGGTGTTAGCATGTGTCACAGAGTATCTATTAAGGAGATTCCTTCTGTAACGCCAGCTGATGTTATCAAATTGCTGGAGTCAGATTTCAAGGATACTAAAGAAAACACAAGAGTGGTGTCTCAAGAGGACATTATGTTCTTGAATAAAATGGAAGAAAACATCAAAATGAACGAATACAGACATTTGGAAATGCCCCTCCCATTCAAGAAAAGACCGTATCTTCCAGATAATGAGCCTCTTGCTGTCATGAGACTTCAACATCTAAAACGGAGATTAATTAAGGACCAGGAGTATAGAGATCATTATGTGAAGTTCATGGAAGACGTAATAGAGAATGGTGACGCAGAAAGAGTCATTGATGAAGGAAAGAAAGGAGAAAAATGGTACATCCCTCATCATGGGGTGTATCACTCGAAGAAGCCAGGGAAATTGCGTGTAGTCTTTGACTGCTCTGCCAGATACAAGGGGTCCAGCTTAAACGATCATCTACTTACAGGACCTGACATGATGAACAGCCTGACTGGTATTCTTTTGCGGTTCAGACAGTATCCAGTGGCCTTAATGTGTGATATTGAGCGGATGTTTCACCAATTCCATGTTGACAAAGCAGATCGAGATTACTTACGATTTCTGTGGTGGAAAAATGGAGATTTCGACTCACAGCCTCAAACGTTCCGCATGAGAGTACATCTTTTTGGTGCCTCGTCATCCCCTGGATGCGCTAACTACGGACTGAAACATCTTGCAAGAGAAGGTGAACATCTGTACCCCCTAGGTTCACAATTCATTATGCAAGATTTCTACATGGATGATGGAGTCTCCAGTGTTGAATGTGCAGAGAAGGCCATCCAGTATGTGCGAGAAGCTCGCCAGGTTTGCGCACTAGGAGGTTTAAGATTGCATAAGTTTGTGTCCAATAACAAGGCAGTTTTGAAGAGTATACCACCCTCTGAGTGTGCTGTGGACGTTACAGCTGTCAATCTGTCCCTCACTGACCAGCCTTTGGAAAGAGCCTTGGGCATTTACTGGCATCTGGAACATGATAACTTCAGATTTCGTGTCAACCTAAAGGACCAGCCAGCAACCCGTAGAGGCATACTGTCTACAGTGGCCTCATTGTTTGACCCCCTAGGGTTTCTTGCACCATTCTTGCTCAATGGAAAAGCTGTTCTGCAAGAAATGTGCAGGAATGGCATGGGCTGGGATGATCCTTTACCTGATGGTTTGCGGCCAAGGTGGGAGCATTGGAAGGCTGATCTTGAAAACTTAGAGGAGATTAAGGTGCCTCGTTGTATTGTGCCTGCTGGATTTCAGAGAACCACAAAGAGAGAAATTCATCACTTCTCGGACGCCAGCACGAGAGGATATGGCCAGTGCTCATACCTTAGGCTCGAGAACGAACAAGGTGATGTCCATTGTTCTTTGCTCATGGCAAAATCTAGAGTAGCCCCACTTAAGGTAACAACAATCCCTCGGTTAGAGTTGACTGCTGCGGTTGTGTCAGTTGCTGTGAATGATATGTTAAAGGAAGAAATGAACCTTGCAGATGCAGAGGCATTTTTCTGGACTGACTCTCAAGTGGTGTTAGGCTATATAAACAACGAAGCTCGCCGCTTCCATACGTTTGTCGCAAATCGAGTTCAGAGAATTCATCACAGTACAACTCCTCAACAGTGGCGATACATTCCCTCAGATGAAAATCCAGCCGACTATGCATCACGAGGTATGAGTGTCAATGATCTTGTCACTTCCAGCTGGTTCAGAGGACCGAACGTCTTGTGGGAAAGGCAAATGGCTTCCCCTGTGGATGTTAACACACAACTTCCAATTGGAGACCCAGAGGTCAAGAAGGCTCAGTCACTGAACACGCAAACGGTACAGTATTCCTGCTTATCCAACCGTCTCACGAAGTTGTCCTCATGGTCCAAAGTCATCCAAGCAGTTGCACGTCTACTTCGTCAAGTCAGGAAAGACAAGTCAAGTGACCACAGTACAGTGGCAGAACGTGAGGATGCTAAGTGCATCATCATCAAGGACTTACAGAGTCAGACATATGAAGAAGAGATAGCTTTACTCTGTAAGGGCAAGCAACTCTCACACAACAACAGGCTATGTAATCTAGATGCTTTTGTCGACCACGACGGATTGCTCAAGGTGGGAGGAAGGCTTTGCAACTCTTCTGTCCCTAACTCCATTAAATATCCAGTAATAATTCCAAAGGAACACCATCTTACAAAACTTCTGATCGCCGATTGTCATGAGAAAACTGAGCATCAAGGAAAAGGCTTGACTATAAATGAGATCAGATCAAGAGGATATTGGATAACAGGAGTAAATAGGACGGTAGCCTCCTTTGTACGACGGTGTGTGAGATGTCGCAAGCTTCGCAGACCCACAGAAGAGCAAAGAATGGCCAACCTGCCCTCAGAGCGTACAGATCCATCGCCTCCATTCACGTACTGCGGAATGGATGTTTTTGGTCCGTTCATCACCAAACAAAGCCGTAAATCGTACAAGAGGTATGGACTTCTCTTTACCTGTTTCTGTTGCAGAGGCATCCATATTGAGATGTTGGATGACATGTCCACGGACGCCTTTATCAATGGTCTGCGCTGTTTCTTCGCTATCAGAGGAGCAGTTCGTCTAATAAGGTGCGACCAAGGCAGTAATTTCATTGGAGCTAAGAATGAGTTTGCTAAGGCCATGAAAGAAATTGACACCAATCGTCTGGTAACGTTCTTAGCAGGAAAACAATGTGACTTTGTCTTCAACGCACCCCATTCAAGTCACACAGGAGGAGTTTGGGAGAGACAGATTAGAACTGTGAGAAGTGTTCTTCATTCAACTCTGTCCTTATCTTCTGGAAGGCTTGATGACTCTTCCCTTCGGACCTTCTTCTACGAGGCTATGGCAATTGTAAATAGCCGACCGCTCACAGTAGACAATCTGAATGATCCTAAGAGTCCTGAGCCTCTTACCCCAAATCACCTGCTCACTTTGAAAACTACCCAAGCTTTACCACCCCCTGGCAAGTTTGTGAGAGAAGATGTATATGCTCGCAAAAGATGGCGCCATGTCCAATACTTAGCGGAGCAATTTTGGGGCCGTTGGCAGAAGGAGTATGTGTCTAACATTGCAACAAGGCAACGCTGGCTTACTCCAAGAAGGAACATGCAAGTTGGAGATATAGTCTTGGAGAAGGCAGACGATCTGCCCAGGAATGAGTGGCGCTTGGCAGAAGTTATTGAGACAGTGGTTGACAAGGATGGCTTGGTGAGAAGAGTGAAGATACGTTTTGGAGACAGAAAACTGGGGAAGGATGGTAAAAGTCTGAACAAACCTTCAATAGTTGATCGCCCAGTACAGAAGCTGGTCCTGCTGCTAGAGGCAGCCTGATCTTCCTGACATATCCTTTGATTTAGGCAGTTCATAGTGGAATATGTTTCAGTTTTTCTTTTACATCTAGCCTTAAACATGAGTAATTTATTTTAGAAATCATTTGTGATTAAAGTTTAAGATTCATAGTCACTCATGATTTGGTTGGAGTGTAAATAACCTTCAGTTATTTGAATAATATATGCAGTAATTAATATATTATTCTGATATGGTTATTCTATACTTCTTAATATTAGTTTAATATTCTTAATATTGTTTATTATATTTTTGAAGATTTTCTTTGCACTCTTAGTTATTTAACCTATAGAGACCTTGATTTTGAAAGGTGGCTTGCCGGAAATGCGAACAGATCGCTCGCGCACAGGAAGCGCGCATACACAGAGATTGCTGATAGAAGGAGACACGGAACCATGCGGTCACGGATTCAAGGATGTGAATTATATTATTAAGGCAACTGTAAAGTTAATTTAGGCATCTAGTCGCTGTTTGTTTTTATTTTAGTAGTATTTGTTTTGCATCTGTTGTTTTAGCACCTGGTTGGAAAGGAGTACAAGGTATACATCATGTATATTTATGCACTTGTGTAATGCTACAGCATATCTTGTCTGTATGATTGTTTTATATATGTTTGTTTAATTTTTTTAGCAATTTAAGGCGTTTTTGATAAATGTTAGTATTGATTTAGTAATTTTGCTATATTGACAACTGGTTTTTGTTTCATTTATATGAACGTGAATTATTTACAGATTCCAATAATGTTAATTCATCTGTTCTAGCTCTTACGGTGTTGTGACGGTGTTGTGACGGTGTTACGGACAATAAACAGACAACATCAGTGAGAGAGCGACTCACGTTCTGGGCGGTAACCCGGATGCGCGGCCATTATGGAGGCACTCGGATGTAAACAACAGCATGGATTGCACTGTTCATGTACTACTGAACACATTGTTACACTAATAAACCACGGAAAAAACACGTGGTAGGTGCGAAATCATATAGAGAAGGACTTGGGAACCAGGACAGAGCGAAACATTTTGACAAACTAAAGTTAATATGTTTTATGTGGTCACATTATGTGGTAGCTGCTAAAGATCCGAACGAGTTAGCTTCTCTAGCACGTAACATTACTGCAATTCTTCCATCTATTTATTATCCCGAAATAAGATACGTTCAGATTGTCAGTCCAAAAAAGCACATGAAATTCGTTTCAAGTTACATCCATATGTGGTTTGAAATCCTATTCAAATCACATATCAGGACATCAGCCTCAGTCTGAACGCTCGGATTTCGCGTGGTATGTCTTAAAATGCAAACGTAATTTATAGGAAACATGCTGAAAGTCACTGCCGAAACAATGCTGTGTTGTTGCAAAGTGCCGGACGAGCAGAAAAATATTATTTCTGAAACCGGCGCAGACGAGCGTGGGAAAAAAGCAGTAGCTAACGTTATATGCCAGCCTCCATACAGTTCTGCCGTAGTAGTCCAGCGCGTCGGCTATACACATTTCCATGTTGTAACATTTAAAAAAGACAACATCTAACATTATATTGCAAATGCAACCCCTCCATCAACGCAAAGTCATTGCCATATTACCAAATAACATGCATGGACACACACGTCGGATCTGAACAGTTTCGATACACAGTGTGGACATCATTTTAGATCAGATTCCAATTTGATACAAAGATAATCGGATTTGGACTGACAGTGTGAATGTAGCCATAGTTAACATTAACTGCGTCGACATTTTAGCCATAGTCAACGCTTCATTTACATGTGTCTGATGCTGTACCTCTCTCAACCACAAACGCCTTCTTTCATCAGTTTTTTGCACTCTTCTCTTTAACTTTTGACAGTCTATAGCACTCGACATGTTTTTTCCCGATGTGACCGATTGGTACAGACAAAAACTCGACCATTTTTCAGCAGCAATAATCAGCCAAATTTGCGAGTCCATTCAGTTCAGTGGCATTATTCACGTTCTGTGCCTCCAAAATGGCCGACTTCCGGATTGATGACGCGTCGTGAAACCCCTCTATTCAACCGGGCTGCTAGAGTGTGTGTGTGTGTGTGTGTGTGACACCTCGTACACCTGCATCTGTGGAAGGTACAACACTACTGATGTTGTGCGTGTGTGTGTGTGTGTGTGTGTGTGTGTGTGTGTGTGACACCTCGTACACCTGCATCTGTGGAAGGTACAACACTATTACTGATGTTCTTACTGAGGCTTACAGTCACACTCACAACAGCCTTACAGTGCAATAACACTGACCAGAGGAAATCACTACTGTGTGTCTGTGTGTGTGTGTGTGTGAGAGAGAATACATGTATATGTCAGAGAGAGAGAGTGATAGTGTGTGTGTGTGTGTGTGTGTGTGTATGTGTATGTGTGTGTATGTGTGTGTCTCTCTGTGTGTGTGTGTGTGTGTGTGTCTGATTGTGTCTCTCTGAGTGTGTGTGTGTGTGTGTGTCTGACTGACTGTGTCTCTCTGTGTGTGTGTGTGTGTGTGTGTCTGATTGTGTCTCTCTGAGTGTGTGTGTGTGCGTGCGTCTCTCTCTCTCTCTCTCTCTCTCTCTCTCTCTCTCTCTCTCTCTCTCTCTCTCTCTCTCTCTCTCTCTCTCTCTCTCTCTCTCTCTCTCTCTCTTCCCCTCTCTCTCTCTCTTCCCCTCTCTCTCTCTCTTCCCTCTCTCTCTCTCTCTCTCTCTCTCTCTCTCTCTCTCTCTCTCTCTCTCTCTCTGTGTGTGTGTGTGTGTCCTGTTAGTGAGAGACTCTGAGTGTCTGATATTGTGTCCCCAGAGCAAGAGATGTGTCTGAGTTAATCAGTTCAATCACAGCAAACATCTGGACAGATAATAAACTACAGACGTGTTTCGGATTTAGTCTTAAATGCACAGTTCATCTAAAATCTTACTATAGCACTTCTATAACATGTAGTGCATGTGACATTATTTTCCAAGTCTTTTAAAATCATATGATTGTTTAAAGGTGGGGTATGTGATTTGCAAAACGGCCGGCAGATTTAGAAAATACAGAACTCAAAAGGTCCTACCTTCTTTCCTCCAGCGCTGGCCCTGACTCGCTCGAGGGGTGTGGGGGGAGGGGGGTCTGGTACGACTGTTTGATTGACGCACTGACTGTCCAATGATTCTAGGTGGTCTTGGAAATGATTGGCTGGAGTTTTTCGAATCCTGCCCGTTCCACAGATGATTCAATTCACCTTTGGCTAAGCCCCGCCCCCCTTAGTTACTGTTGCTACGTCCGTCAAACAAACTTCATCTGGGCTCTGGTATCAACATGGCTTATGCTGTGACAGCTCTTCCTGCTGAAATTTTATCAAACTTTTATAAAGCAGCAAATAAAGTGTCCGATAGAAGTAGGCAAAAGCGGCTGCAATATACGTTCGAAGGCTATATTCACGACAAACGCAAGGAACAACCAGGCATCCAAACAGAGGCAAAAGCATACCGGTCACAGTCAACAAATGACCCAGCGCATATCCTACTAATGGAGACGGAGGCTGGGACTAACAATATCCAGGAGCAACACTGTTCATGCAAAGCTGGAGGTCTCTATTCACTTCTATAATCGTTATTACAAAGCAAACGGACTACGCGAGTATAACGTTGTATTTATTAGCAGCGTGTGCTAGTGCTAGATGACACTTGTCAGGATTTGACTTCGGTTTGGGAAGGGAAAAAAACGCACACCCGCCTCCAACCTCTCTGGGAAACGCGTATCTGTGTTACAAATGCCCCAGGCACAACGCTTAACCATATTTTAGATAAAACTACGATGGTAATAGCCGGCCGAGACCACAAATATGAGACGCCTGTGTTAAAGTCAATGGAGTAGTGATGGCGGTTCGTGAACGAATCGTTCTTTTGAACCGGTTCTTTTTAGTGAACCGGTCGAACCAGTACACTAAATCGGACTGAATCGTTCGAAACAGTTCGCGTCTTGCGTCAGTGCTGATACCCAAGTTACTAAAGGTACTCACTTTCAGACATGCCTGACAGTCCCTCTGACTCGAAATAAACCAATATCCCGGAGTATATTTCACTCCAGTAAATCCAACAGTTGTTTTTGAGAGAAGTGATGAGCACGAGCAGCTGATACTGCGCATGCGCGTACTACCGAACGCACATGTACAGCGGTTATCGGATCACCAGTACAGAACCGAGAACTGTTTCTTTCGGACAAGTTCGACATAATGAGAACAACTGATCGCTGAGCATGCGTGCAATTTTTTTCTGAGGGACGAAATGTACGTTTCTTAAGTATTTATTTAGTTGAACATCAGTAAGTGTAATAAAAAAAACATGTTGGAAACATGTTTATCACATAATTACTGTATTATCACTGTATTATTTTAAAGTTTGGAAACACAATGAATGGATTGTAAAACTGTCAAACTAAACATTTATTAAAATAATATTTTCAGGAACAGCTCATTTCATTTCTAAGTAAGTTGATATAAATATTTGATGTAAACTCTTGCCAAAGTTTTAATGGTGCACACTGCACAGTACTGCTTAGTAAATGTTTATAATGTGTTAAAACATAACGTATTAAACATATTGGAGAAGAAAGACATGCATCGATTTTTTTAGTTTTGTCGACTGTATATTCAGGTTTCAGCAGTTCTCAGCTCAGCACACAGGCCTATGCTACGGTTCTCGAGTCAAGAACTGGTTGTTGCAGTTCTTGATTCACCAGTACAGAACCGAGAACTGTTTCTTTCGGACACGTTCGATACGGAGAACCGATGAGCTGGAGATACTGAGCATGCGTGATAGCACCGTCTCTAAACAGAACTTTCTTTCGGCCAACTGATGATGTGCTGATGAGCACGCAGCACGGGTGAACCGAGGACTTAAATGAGGGGCCGAATTCGGCGAAATGTAAGTTTATTACAAATAAAATGATGAAGACCACTTATGCACTTTATATATTTAAGACATGTTAAACATCTGCGTTTGCACATCGCCTGTAGGCTACAGGGTTCGTTTGCAAGATGTAAATGTAAGAAACTTATCCAAGAGGATTATGACGATGAGTACTATTATTTAAGTGAAGTTAGGATTATAAATGCCTTTAATTTAAAGTATTTTTATCCGCCGGGATGATATAATTGACGTCATTACGCGAGGACGTAAAAGAACTGGTGAACCGGTTTTTTGAACCGGTTCATTGAAACGAACTGTCCGAAAGAACCGGTTCGCGGAAAAGAACCGAACTTCCCATCACTACAATGGAGCGGTGTGAAAAAGTGTCGGACCTCTGTGGGAGCTCGTTCTTGGCTGCGCTGTGATTGGTCAATCTACATTCTAGGGCGTGGCTTAGCCAAAGGCGAATTGCTTATTTTCATTTCAGTGCTTCTAACTCAGTGGCTGTAAGCGGGTTAGGAATAGGATTTCAAGTGATTTTGAAAAAAATGGTCAAAAAAGAAAATTACATACCCCACCTTTAATGAACAGACCCAAAAATTACTTTCTTTTTTTTGTATCTGCAGATCTTAATTTTTCATGCATATTCAAACCTAGCTAATCGCAATCATTTATGATACAAGATTTTCATTTAATATAAATTTACATTTCAAGTTTTGACACAATTGTTGTTTTGGGGTGAAGTGTAATTTAAAACTTCGAGGGACCATTTTAAAATCAAAATTAGTATTAATGTGAACGCTCATGAACATAGAAGCATTGAAACACTTTTACCCATAATGCATCTGTCACTGACCAACTGACTGAACATCAGTTAAAGATATAAAGACAGATGATGTTCATTCGAATGTAGTGGATATGGTCAATTATTTGAGTTATTCTGGTTGCATGTGAACATGTTAACACTCCTCCGTGGGAAGTGGGAATAGTGGGAATAACTCCTCCGTCCTGCATTACGGACACGCCGGCTCTCCCAATGACAAAACCATCCAGGATGGAGACATGTGGTGAGTTTATGAGCCTCTTTTCACACATATTTCTTAATTACTTTAATAATCATGTTCTGTGTCAGTTGTGTTGTTGGTTCAGGCTGGTCTACAGTCAGTGTAGTGATGAATATTTCTCTCTCCAGTAATATTCAGGGTTTATGGTCTCTCTATGAGCAGTTGCACACTGACCCCTGGTGGACACGACATACAAACACACTTTCACTTTCTGCAAGCACATCTTTGAGATATGGTTGAATAATTTAAAGTAGAAGAGGATTTACTATAATCAAATGATATTTACATCCCACATAGCAAATGTTTTCTGGCCCAGCTCCGGGCCACACAATCACTTTTCCCTCAGCCCAAGTACCGCAAAGAATGACGGCACTGAAGTGGCCCAGAACTGGATTAAAGACAAGAGTCACACATGGGCCATAACTGGCCTGAATCTCAGCTAGTTAATCACCCTTAACGGGCCCTGAAGTGGCCCAGAACTGGATTAAAGACAAGAGTCACACATGGGCCATAACCGGCCTGAATCTCAGCTAGTTAATCACCCTTAACGGGCCCTGAAGTGGCCCAGAACTGGATTAAAGACAAGAGTCACACATGGGCCATAACTGGCCCTGAATTGGACCAAAACAGGTTTTATTATTGGTACCAAGTCTCAGCCATAAGTTAACCATATCAACACCAGAAACCCCAAAACTGAGCCATAACCCAGCCTAATCTTACCCAAACCATATGAACAAATAAGTCACAGGAAAATTCAATTCTGAAAATTGCTTTATTTAACAATAATGTACACGCCAAAAATACATTTTTAAATTACATCTAGAATTGTGTAACTGTGTGAAGGCTATTTTAGTACATTCAAAGCATAACATAATTAGCACCTCAAAAAAGTGCATTTAATTTCAAAATGTTCTTGTCTGTCTTTAACAGTTACTTATTGTAGTAATGCACAAGCCAAAACATTTAATAATAATGAAAATTCACATCTAGAATTGTGTAACTGTGTGAAGGCTATTTTTTTTTTTTTTGTACATTCAAAGCGCAACATCCTATTACCTCAAAGTGCATTTAATTTCAAAATGTTCTGGTCTGTCTTAAAGGAACACTCCACTGTTTTTTTCATATTAAACTATGTTATTCCCTTAACTAAGACGAGTTGATACCTCTCTCGTCTCAGTGTGGCACTCAATCGCTCTGGCACGCGGCAACACTTTGATAGCACTTAGCTTAGCCCAGTTCATTCATTAGGATCCAAACAGAGATGAAGTTAGAAGCGACCAAACACCTCCACGTTTTCCCTATTTAAATACAGTTACACGAGTAGTTACACGACCAAGTATGGTGAAACAAAATAAAACATGGCGCTTTTCTAAGCGGGTAAAATGGATAACTATAATGTATGGCGGAAGAGCACTTGGACCCGGCGCAGTAATATAACTATATCATCGGGAGAGAGGATTTTTCAGGAGTGATGATATTACTGCGCCGAGTCGAAGTGCTATTCCGCCATACGTTATAGTTATCCATTATATGTTATAAGGGAATAACATAGTTTAATGGTCTGTTTAATATATTAATGGTCTGTTTAATAAAATAAAATAAAAAAGTTTAATATGAAAAAACGGTGGAGTGTTCCTTTAAACAGTAGCTTACTTATTGTAGTAATATAGCTAGAGTTGTGTGAACACTATTTTAGTTGCCTGAACAGCCAAGTATACAACATTTTCCAATTCTAACTAAATGAATCTATGAATGAATCTAGCACTGAAATGTAACCATATTATAATGTAATTTTACTCTCAACAAACATAGAGCAAATTTACACATCATAATTTTTGTATGTGTGAGGGAGAAAGTGATCCTATTTAGGACTCAGGAAGTGAAGTACAGCTCTGCAGCCCCTCTTTTCTCCTCAAGCGCTCTCTCCTTCCTCCTCTCTATCAGGAGCCAGCTGAAGCCATCTTGTATATAGTTGCTTCTATCTCCTGATCGGGAGCATGTTGTGTCAGACGATTTTTTTCTCACAGCAGCTAAAAGACAAAATACTAAATTAATAATACAAAATTAATAAATAGTACATATACAAACATTAATCCACCTGTAAATAAATGTAAGTAACAAAATAAAATAAGTTTGCTTTGGTTACATTTTATACAGGAAATGGTTGCTTATAATGTGGCACTAACGTTACTTAAATGACTAACTGGCTTGTCAGAGTTTGACAACAGTATTTTGACAAACAAAACCATTTTAGCAAACAAAAACCTTAAAAATGTTGAGATATGGAAACTGTGGTGTAAACACATGCTTAGCCTATCTGTGAATTAACTTTTAATTTATTAACTGTTAAAATAATTAGATTTAGATAAATCTGATTATTCAACCATAGAGGGGTTTCACCAACGTCACGTTCTGGGCGGTAACCCGGATGCGCGGCCATTATGGAGGCACTCGGATGTAAACAACAGCATGGATTGCACTGTTCATGTACTACTGAACACATTGTTACACTAATAAACCACGGAAAAAACACGTGGTAGGTGCGAAATCATATAGAGAAGGACTTGGGAAGCAGGAGAGAGTGCAACATTTTGACAAACTAAAGTTAATAGTGGTGCTTAAACTAAAAACTATGGAAAACGTTGACTATTTTGTATGTGAATTAGTTTTTCTTTAAATTATAAATTTATAAAAAATAAAAAATAAAAAAAACTCAATTATCATGTTAGGAAAATGTATATTTTGTTCAGGTCAAATGGATTTGGGAATTGTTTAATGATTATTGAATTTTGTGAACATTGCTGAAAACTAATAGGCCTAGCAGGCCTAAATACTTCCAAGTATGGCCCATAATCGCTACACTGATCTGGGCCATAATCGCTACACTGATCTGGGCCACACACCTCCCATCCACAATCGGCCCAAATATTGTTTGCCGTCATGCATGCAGTGCCATCATTGCCACGCATGGCCCAGAGTTGGCTGACATGATGCATGCCAGTGCCGGCAACACGCCAGCAGTGCCATTATGAGGCCACATTTGGGCCAAGTCTGTTTGCTATGTGGGATCCGGTATCATCTATGTTTAAATCACAGTTTTCAGACATAGGATATCTTTATTTGGAAAACTTGCATCAAAATTATATATCCATAAACAAAACTTTCATCAAAGGAATGTGCAGAATTTCAGTGTTTAGTGAAATTTAGTGGATTTCTGAAATGTTTTATGTCATTTATGGCATTAATATCCAGTATATTTAAAAGTAACATTATAAGTTGTATGTTAAATGGTTTGTTGAAATCTATAATATAAAATTGAGGAAATGGCATATGAATGTCTTTTCTTGAAGCTTTATGTGATTTTTGGTCATAACTTACATTCATTGTCAATATAAAGATTAATCTAAAAACTGATTAATTATTATAAAGATTAGATAACTCTATTTCGATAGTCCACTTTAGACATTCTACTAACTATAAGTAGGCTAACTTTGCAACTACATGTCATTGTAACAAAAAAGAGCTATATATATAAATGTGACTGGACTTGTCTAAAGTGGACTATGGAAATAAAGTGGAACTAAAGATGAACTAACTGATGTTTCCCGACAGTCTGTTTGACATGGGCGGCGAGTATTACTGCTACTCCTCCGACATCACCTGCTCCTTCCCGGCCAACGGCAAGTTCAGCGCGGACCAGAGAGCCGTTTATCAAGCCGTGCTGAAGTCCTCCCGAGCCGTGCTGGACGCCATCAAACCTGGTACACACTCTGAGTCACGATACACACACACCAGCAGCAAAACTGAGTCTTTTCTGACACACACTTATTATTACGCTATCAGCATAAAGCCTGATCTACACTAACAGTGGTTCGGGGTCAGTAAGATTTTCTCATGGTTTTGAAAGAGTCTCTTCTGCTCACCAGCTGTGTTTATTTGATCACAAATACAAAATATATTTTTAGAATTTAAATCAGCTGTTTTCTATGTGAATATATAGTAAAGTGTAATTTATTCCTGTGATCAAAGCTGAATTTTCAGCATCATTACTCCAGTCTTCAGTGTCACATGATCCTTCAGAAATCACTCTAATATGATGATCTGACGCTCAAGAAACATTTATGATTATTATCAATGTTAAAAACATTTAAAAAGACAGTTAGAAAGTTCAAAAGAACAGCATTTATTTGAAATAGAATCTTTTGTAACATTAATATCTTTACAATCAATTTTGATCAATTTAATGCATCTTTGTAGAATAAAATTATTAATTTTTTTAATTTCCAAACTTTTGAATGGTAGTGTATGTTGAAATATGAGTTTTAATATTTAAGAATGCATTTCCTAAAAAGACAAATAGACACTGTGTGTTTGGTTTAAAGACCAAGAGAGCTTCAGTCCTCCGCTGTAAAATGACCTTTGACCTCACTGTAATGAAAAATATATATATTTCCTTCACCTTTAATCCTCCCTCGTCTGGCTTCTGCTACTTAAGCAATGCCTGAACGTTGTATTTTGAGCACTTCTTGTTGTTTTAGCCTCTTCATGATGACTCGCTTGCTTTAGTCCTCATCTGTAATTCGCTTTGGACAAACCCTTACGCAACAAAAATATATTTCTCAATATATTATGTGACAATATATTTCATGTGTCTCCATATATTGTGAAATTTACATTGTAATATATCATATGATATATTATATAATAATATATTATATATATGCAATAATATATTGCAATATATGGGACAATACTGCAATTATTGCCGTTTTCATATATTGAATAAATACATATTATTATACTATTTAATATATTGTTAGGTATATTGAAATATGTCCCATATTATATGAAATTATATATTGGAAGAGGCATTGTATATATGTGAAAATATATATGTAAAATTATATGAGCTAATATACCTCAATGTACCAGATAATATAATCAGATATATATGCAAACATGTCTTAAATATGTTGAAAAATATATTGATTTATATTACATAATATATTATATATAATTATCATATTATATATTGTATACAATAATTTACCATGTGGGGGAATAAAAAGTGGACTAAAAAATGTTGTAATTGTTGCAGTTAATGATAATTTAATTTATACTCTCATCTACATTTTACAATATATGAATCAATACATAGCCATATATGGTCCATCCATATGGCTAATGTAAAATATAATGAATGTCATGCAAAAATTTGATTTGGACTATTGTTAATCAACCTTTCTGTAAACCTATGCATGAGCTTACTTAACTCATAAAAAAAATACTTTGTTTCAATAAACATACATGCAATAATGTAATACAGTTTTGTTTGTATATAAATGTATTTTAATATACGAATCAATATATAGCAATAGGTTGTCCATCCATATATTGTTATATATTTTCAAATATATGAGGCAGTTTCTGATATATTGAAATATATTTTCTAATGTATTGCAATATAAATTCTAGTATATTGCAATATATTTTTGTTTCGTAAGGGAAGGCGTGTGCTGAATGTAAATGTGACGAGGGTCTCGGCTCAGTGGTGTGTTGATGTGCCGGTCAGGTGTGAAGTGGACAGAGATGCACCGGCTGGCGGACCGGGTCCACCTGGAGGAGCTGCTGAAGATGGGGATCCTGCGCGGGGCGGTGGAGGACATGCTGAAGGTCCATCTGGGCTCCGTCTTCATGCCTCACGGTCTGGGTCACTTACTGGGCATCGACGTCCACGACGTGGGAGGATATCCAGAGGTCAGTTCTCAGCACAACACATCCGGACAGCTCTATTTTTTCCCTGAAATAGTCTATGTACAGGTGAAACTCGAGAAATTAGAATATCGTGCAAAAGTTCATTTATTTCAGTAATTTAACTTAAAAGGTGAAACTAATATATTATATAGACTCATTACATGCAAAGTGAGATATTTCAAGCCTTTATTTGTTATAATGTTGATGATTATGGCTTACAGCTTATGAAAACCCCAAATTCAAAATTAGAATATTGTGAAAAGGTTTTCATAAGCTGTAAGCCATAATCATCAAAATTACAACAAATAAAGGCTTGAAATATCTCACTTTGCATGTAATGAGTCTATATAATATATTAGTTTCACCTTAAGTTGAATTACTGAAATAAATTAACTTTTGCACGATATTCTAATTTTTCAAGTTTCACCTGTATAATGTATAATCAGATGCTTAGCGGTGAGTGATAAGACAAAAATCACAAACAATATGTGTAAGTGTTGGAAATTGTTATAACATCAATTAGTAGTAATTATGTTACAATGCCAAAATGTTAAGAGGCCAGATATGATTTTAGATTTTTGTTGAAGATAAATCTTAAAGGTTTTCAAAAAACTTTTAAATTTCTACTTTTAAACTTTTTATTTTGCTACATTTTAAAATAACATAAAATGCCATGGTATGGTTGCTTACAAATATGATAACAAACAAACACCAAAGTATTATAAATTAAAACCAAAATCATACAGATTTTATAATCATCATCGTCACTGCAAAGTGATTTACTCACTTTATTTGACAACTTTTATACTGTACACATATATAATTTTATCCACATACATCACATAAAGCCATATACTGTACACTATATCAAATCTACTGTTTGATGATTTGTATTGTCTCCAGATTTAGCTTCAAAGTGCTAAACTTCTCAATGAAGACTATTAAGCATTATAAACATTAACATTTAAAATTTCTGTAGAGCTGCTTTGATACAACTGCTCGCTACGGATGCGAAAAACACAGAAAATCAAACCCGATCCGATTTTTTTTATGACGGACGATAGTTTTGGAGGCAGTGTGCAAGCATGATCGACACAACGTGAGGTCGTACTTATTTTTTAACGAATTTCGGACTCAGTGTGCAAGGGCTTTAAGTGTCTGTGCTTCTGAACAGTGTGTGTGTGTCTGTTTCTGAACTGTGTGTGTGTGTGTGTGTGTGTGTGTTGTGTGTTGTGTGTTGTGTGTTGTGTGTTGTGTGTGTGTGTGTGTGTGTGTGTGTGTGTGTGTGTGTGTGTGTGTGTGTTGTGTGTGTTGTGTGTGTTGTGTGTGTTGTGTGTGTGTGTGTGTGTGTGTGTGTGTGTGTGTGTGTGTTGTTCAGGGCGTGGAGCGCGTGGACGAGCCGGGACTGAAGAGTCTCCGGATGGGCCGTGTGGTGCAGGAGCGGATGGTCCTCACGGTGGAGCCGGGGATATATTTCATCGATCACCTGCTGGATAAAGCGCTCGACTCCCCGACTCAGTGCGGCTTCATCAACAGAGACGTCCTCAATCGCTTCCGCGGCTTCGGCGGGGTCAGAGTTATTAATAACACACACATTACAGTAGATACACATCAATTCATAACTAGTCCTTACTTTAACACCATATCATTTTTGCTGATCATTTTGTTGATTTGTCAGTATATAATATTATATGCTGTAATGTATGCATATAAATCATACATTATATACATATATAATACACTATATAAGACGCTGTTTTCTGAGATTGATACGGTGAAACCCACGCCATCGTTACTGTTCGTATCACTGATCAAGAGCTGAGATTCAGATATGATAATGAGCGTTTGCTTTCTGGCCAATCACAGCAGAGCAGCTCTCAGAGAGGCGGAGCTTAGAGAGACTGAATCCTTGATCGAAGCGTTTCAGACACTGAGAGAAAAGAGATGATGCTGAAATTACAGTATATGATGAGATTGGGGAATTAAAGTGTATATGACAGTATATGAGATGCACATGAATATTGCTGATCGTGTGTGTGTGTGTGTGTGTCTCAGGTGATGATGATTATAATGACACTCCTTTTCTTCAACATATCAGACTTTAAACTTTAAGTAAATGAGTATCTTTGATATTTCATTCTATAAAGGGAAACACACAACATGTGACCGCTTCTGTATGACTTCACTTCTGGAAATCAGTGTCAAAAATGAATTACCGGATCATTTATGCTTTCATGAAGCAGCCGTAACATTTTCAGAGTTTGATTCTTAATAAAAGCAGTTCTGAACTTTATTTAGCCTGACTTAAACTTTACTCAATTCATTTGCATTTTATCCTGTACACTTTTTGCAAGTTTATAATAAAATGCAATGCTTATTTTTAATAAATCTTGGCACACAGTTTTGGAGATTGTCTTTCTTCATTCCAGTAGACTCTAGCTGTACTGGTTTCCACATGTGTAAAACAATAGTTTGAGGCTCTTATTACACTAAGATTGCTATTGAGTCACATGACTTCTCTTCAATGAACTTTACAGTAAATCAGCTGAATAAAGGGAGTTACTCTTCATGAGGGTGCGACACTTTAATGTCAGTTTCCATCATTAATTGTGTTCATCTCAACTGTGTGTTTTTCTGCATCCAGAGAAATGAGTTGAAAAGGTAGAAAGCATTTTTGTCGTCCCTTAAACTCTCAAGCCTCGCTCTCTAACAGCAAACTGTGTTTTTATTTAGAAGTCAGTTTAAAGATACTTACTATAATTCCTATTAATAAAAAATAAAAGAAATTCTCTTTTGCACATTTTCTTTGCAATTGCTTCATAGTTTATACCATAAACTTGGCATTGTTACTATGATTAATGTTGACTTGTGATGTTCCTCATTTTGGATTAAAGCGTCTGCTAAAGGAATAAAAGCAAGTATTTGTTTATGTGTCGGGATCATATCAGAGAGACAGAGCCGTAATGGCCGCCATCAAACCAGGTTTAAACAAAGAGTCACAATACAGAATACTAGGAGCAAAACTGCTTTCAGAGAGACATGATAAAACATGAATAATCATCTCCATGTTCAGGATATTAATGAACTGGTGGGATTCTTGTCTGACGCCAAACTTTCTTCTTGCCTGTTGTTCCTGGTTAGATCATGAACTGAAAGTTACTCTTTATCTTTTACTGAAATGTTCTGGTTATATGAGGCCTGACCTCGGACTATCATCAGCATAAAGTCTGATCTACATTATTCAGTTCCACCAAAGCATTTTGAGAGCCGGTTCGGAGCCGGTGTCTACTCGCGAACCAGTTCTTTGTGTTTCGACAGCCAAAGATCCGGTTCTCGGGCAGGAAAATTGATTCCAAAGCGGCACCAACTCTTTGCTGGACTAGAACCGTTCTTTTACCACTTCATGCTTTCGTCGGGGGCGATGTTACTGTGACCAACAACACGACGGGAACGGGAAAGCTTAGACGTATGGCGACGTACACAGTGACGTGACGACGTTGTTCGCTGGGCTCTCGAGTCAGTGGAAAAACAAACCGATTCTGAGAAGATTCGCAAGTTGAACCAACTTTGAACCAGTTTCGAACCAGTTCTTTTTTGGTGGAAACGAGGTAATTCTGGCCAAGAACCGCTGAGAGGAGAACACACCGTCTGACTGACATGTTTAATGATGTTTCTTTAGTTTTTACATGTTTTTAGGGTCAGATTTATCCAAAAATTAACCATAAAGCGCAGACATATGTGTCAGATAATTGTGTGGCAGTTTCCAGAAATGTGTGGATCTGTAATCATAATTTATGCTTTTCCATAAACTACAGATTCTTGCAGATAGAGTCAAAGCAAACATTATTCAGACACCAGATATCATGTTTGATATTTTTTTACTAGCGTGTGCAGGACACTATAGTTCATTTATGTAAGTGAGGAGAGCAAAATAAAGTAAACTGTGACATATTATACCCAATAATTCTTCATACCAATAAAATTTATACAAATTTGGGACCAAAAATGATTCCTCCACTTTGAGCTGATCATGTTTTGCTGAAGTGTGTTTTCTGTAACTGCTAATGCTCTTTTTACACACAGACTGAACAACATGAAGCATTGCTTGGTCACTGGTTGAGCTAAACTGGTATTATCTAATTGTGTAGTTAAATTTACCAGCTGACAGATATTCAACATAATTCATGTGTGAGAGTCTAACAGAAGGACGGACAAAACCAGTCAAATATCCACTGATCTGAGAACTCTTGAGTTCTGCTCATATTTATTACCATTTTCTAAACTATAGCGAATAAACTGTGATAATGTGAGAAATGTTGAAGGTGTCTGAATACATTTTGGTTTGACTGTATATTATTTAGAAAAGATGCTACTCAAAAAGATTGTATGCCGCTAACCGTAGACTTTATAGTTCTTCAACTCTATAACTCGCTGTTAATCTGTAACTTTGAGAGACTGGTGAATAATCGAGAGCAGAAACACGAGTCCTCGGCTGTGAACAGAAATGCTCTCGATCACTGTGAGGATCATAGAGGACTGAGAGTTTGCTGGATTAAATGTGTGTGTGGATTGTAACTTTATGTCTCGTTGTACACACTTCATCATTTAGTGTTGTTGTGTGTCTTTAGTTTGTTTCCAGCAGTTCAGTTGGGATTCTGCTCTTCTCAGAAACATTAAACTCTTCTCTGAAATATAGAAAAATATGTTTATTGTAAGACGGACACTCATACAGTATGTTGTAGATCTGGGTGTGTCAGATGTTAAAAGTGTGTTTTATTCCTGAATGAATCGTGCAGTTAAAACCAGAGGACTGGTAGAGCCGGATCGATGTCAAACCTGAACCTGATCTAAGTTTATATCAAATACATCATGAAAAATCATGGATGATCATTGTGCTCAAGATATTTTAACATGCTTTCTTCTTTTAACTGTATACACACACACACACACACACACACACACACACACACAGTATATATTGTCTGTCTGTGATTGGGTTTGGTCATTTCTCTGTAGTTTGGGACACATGTGAATAAAGCTTGTCATGGAAACTCCAGGTTGTGCTGATATATCACTGAGCTCCTGGTGTAGTCGGACTCGCTGCTGAGTTTAGTTCATAATTATTACAGATATTCTCAGTTTTTTATTAAACAGGATAAGTGTGTTTTAAACATCATAATCTTGATGCTGAAATTGACATCATAATCTCAAATGTGTTGGGTCAGAATTATTACAAACAAATCATATATTCCAGATACACTTGATGGAGATTGATGGAAGTCCTTCCTTTAACTTCATATCATTTTGCTGATAATTTTGTTGATGATTTGTAAATATATATTATTATTATATGTTTGATTCTTAATAAACGCAGTTCTGAACTTTATTTAGCCTGATTTAAACTTTACTTAATTCATTTCCATTTTATCCTGTACACTTTTTGCAAGTTTGTAAGAAAATAAATTTTTAATAAACATCAGATTTTTCTAGCATCATTTAGAATCGTGGGCAAAATTGTATTTAATAATTCATAAAATTCTGTCATGTTGTTTAAATGTAATTTGATTTTGTCAAACTAAACAGTAAATGGAGACAGAAGAGAAATCCCGACACTCAATATGACTGTATGAATGAAGCGCTGATACAGTTCAACGACACAATCACCTTTACATTTTTACCCTAAAGTGTTCTAGCATGATTTGAGCTGAAGAAGTTAAATGTATGACACAATCATTGTCAGATTTTACTGCTTTTTAAATGATACTGAAGTGTATAGTAAACAGGTTGAGATTGTCTTTCTTCATTCCAGTAGACTCTAGCTGTACTGGTTTCCACACGTGTAAAACAATAGTTTGAGGCTGTTATTACACTAAGATTGCTGTTGAGTCACATGACTTCTCTTTAATGAACTTTAACATTAAATCGGCTGAATAAAGGGAGTTACTCTTCATGAGGGTGCGAAACTCAACTGAACGTTGTTGTGCTGGTTTCCATCATTAATTGTGTTCATATCAACTTTATTTGTTTGCCTGCATCCAGAGAAATGAGTTGAAAATGTAGAAAGCTTTTGATTTTTTCTCTCTTCTAACTTGAAAATTATTACAATGAAAGTGAGAAGTCTAGCCTTCTTACAACAAATTATCTTTTAGAAGTCAGTTTAAAGACACACAACACTATAATTCCTGTTTATAAAAATGTAAGAAATGCTCTTGTTGACATAAAATTAAATAGTCATAATTGACATAATTTGTGCTTGCGATGTTCCTCATTTTGGATAAAAGCGTCAACCAAATCAATGTTTTTTTGCATTTGTGATTATTTCGATATAGGTCAAGCGTTTTGGATAGTAACTGTATGTCTCATTGTACACAGTTCATCATTTAGGATTGTTTTGTGTCTTTAGTTTGTTTCCAGCAGTTCAGTTGTGATTCTGCTCTTCTCTGAAATGTTTCTAATGATATTTCATTTTCATGGAAGGCGGACACTTTTATGTATGTTGTAGATCTAGAGTCAGACTGAATCATATTTACAGAGCTGCAGTCAATCCACAGTACAACCGGTTCAGTGGCTAACCTGCTGAACCAGATTTACATTTTAATCAAATACATGGATGAAAATCACATGGAAACAGGATGATTATTGTGCATGGTCAGGATATTTTATCATTTTCTTC